ATCTGTTTAAGAGGACTTATCTTTGTTCACCTCCAAGTATTAATTAAATGTGGCTGTATGCTAGCACATGACACTGAAGAATATGAATTTCTCCTTTATGAAAATCACATACTACAACTGAAATGGCAATGCATGCACAAGATGTAACCCATAGCAAGCACAGGAAAATACTTCTTTATTGTATTTTCCATGCATGCAGCAGGGAAGCATCCAGATGCACTGTTCCAAGAAAAGCAACTTCTACCTCACAGAGGTAACACCCAATACTTAGAAACACTTGGGTCTTACAGCTGAGATTTTCTTTTTTTTTTTTTTGCATGTTCCCCTCCCAAGAAAAAAATATTCTAGCGTCAGCAAAAGGCTCGGCTGCGCCTCCACACCAAGCAATCAGACATTCAGATCCCAGGTTAAAAAAAAAAGAAGACCAACACAACAAAACAACAAATAAATAATGGTGACTGCTTTTTATGCATGCTTCAGTGGTCATACTCTGCATCAATTTTCACTTATCTCTGCCTCAAAGACATATGCTTCATAACTGTTTTGCTACACAGTGAACTCAGAACTTAACCAGACTCCTCATCCTCCCCCTGTCATCAGTCCCCTAGAAGACTGATATAATCAGAGAACTTCAGAGAATAAAAGCCTTTATCACAGACATGGGCTTTATCGAGTCCAATAATAAAAGGAAGTTTCATTTTGGTCCTCATTCAAATCCTGCTGAAGCCAAAAGAAATCTCTCGACAAGCTTTGCTCGTTCTTGTTATTTGGAAAACATTATCCCCCAGAAACTGCCAAGTGTCGTATAATTAATCAATGTATTCTCAGCACTTAAAGTTACAGCTAGTCAAAGCCACCGTAGACTTCCAGCAAAATGACTTATTTGGCAATGGTGCATTTATTTGACCTGCATTGACTTGCAGGTGTGCCAAGATGTTACAGTTCCTAAACGTTCTGGTAAGAATCCAGTAGCATTTTTACAAACTTTCTAGGAAGGAAATAAAGTACATCAACAGCTAACCTAGATTTTCTCTGCACAACTTCAGGTGCCTAAACCCTTTTAAATGCCTGGCTTTGAGCCTTTGTCCTGGTAATTTCAAATGAACATAGGACAGTTTCACAAGGCTTCATTTCTGAATGAAGCTCTTTTGTCACAGGTCAGAAGAAATGCAGTACTTATGCACGCACTCAGAGGATTATGCATATCCATGTGAAAACTAGGCAGCAACACTACAAAGGCTCAATGAATTTGGGATCCATACACTCCTCGTTATCCTTCTGCTTATTTATAACCTTATTGTGCCTGCCACCATTAGGTGACAAGACAGGACAGTCTCTTTCAATTACTTTTCTCCTCTAGATGCTTGTTTTACATTTGCTGGTTGTGGGAAGACAGTGGTATCCCTGCTGCCTAGTGCCTGTTGATTTGGTGACACTGATGTTACTGAATTGTTTTCAATGTAGTTTTCACTAGTATTAGATCAAAGAAAAGAAACTAAATGTCTGTGCAAGCTTCAGCACTGTCTAAACACATCCACAGAACCATAAAATCAACTAAAGCACTGTTAACCCTTGACAAACCACCCGTGGCAAAGTGGGAAAACCTCAATTTTATTTCAAGAGTCAGCTGCTACACGGAGAGCTTCCAGAAGTGCAAAGTAGCATCTGCAATAACAGTATTACCATGCTTTTCAGCACTTTGGGAAATAAGAGAAAAACAGTGATACATGAAGAAAGAGCCCGGAGAAAGAAGCAGAAGTGGGACATGATTGACTTTCACACAGTAGTCCTTTTGTGTAATCACATGCAATTTCTATGTATGGGTTTCCCCCAAAGATTTTTTTTTTTCCTGCCTCTAAAAACGAGCTTTCAGTTAGGTGTCCCTCGGTTCTCTGAGAGACAAAAAAAGATTGCACGATCTGTCAACTGAATCTGTACAGGCAAGCCTTCCCATTCACCTGGACCCTGCTGGAGGTATACAACTGAAATTTGGTTTTGTTGATCAGAAAAGAAAAAGCAATTAATGTCATATTCTGACATATTTGTCCAAAAATTTGGAGATACAGTAAACAATCACACATGTACATGAGAGCACAACGCGAGTCTCTGCCTGCAGCTCTTGAACTTCTGGCAAGTAAACCTTCTCTCGGTGATCTCTGACTTCCTTCCAGCCTAGAACTAGTTAATTGCCTTTCCCTGTTCCTGTTATCTATGCTACAGCAAAAACCTCAAGCCAGGTCAGTTCATTTGCAAGCAACAGAAAATGACTTCTGTGTTACACCGTGCCACTATGAGCTTAACAAAGCACACAAAAGAGCTGAAGGCGAAAGCAGAGTAGTAGAAGTAAGAAGATTAAGTTCAAAACAAAGAGCAGACAACTGTTATCAGGGCACAACCCAGCATCTCCCAGTGTGGGTTCACTACAGCTGTTGGCCCTCCCCATCCAGCCCCTATTACTCCTCGTGCTCCCTTTCAGGAAAACCACTACGGCCATTATCTTTTCCTGGCATTATCTAAGAGCAGACTTTACAGCATCACTGTCCTTGCACCAGAACACAGTTATTCTCACTCATTTCCATTTCCTCTTTTTCTGACCTCACCTTGACCCTACTACATCTCCACTCTGAGGCACTGGAGGAGGAAAGGGGAATAAGGAGAAAAAAAAAAAAAAAAAAAAGGCAAGAAAATGAAATGATTCAGCAGTTTCTGGGAAGCACAGGAGCATTAGTCAGAGGTGATAAGGGTAATAGCAACAGCAAGATGTGAATGGCGACCGAACAACAGACTGCTGGAAACACTTCCCCAAACCCCTGAAACCGAATAGCTACGGAAAGCCAGCCCTCACCAGAAGCAGTCGAGAAAAAGACACTATCAGCTGCCCAGCACCAGTGCTGAAACCAAGTGAGCATACAGGTACTGCTCTTCAGTCACATTCCTTTCTTACAGACAAACCCAATGCATCCCACCGAGCTAAAGAAACACACCTGGGGAGACTGCTGCCCTGTATAAAGTCCTCTCCAATTAAGGAGATTCACAGCTGCAAAAGCTTTCCCTGACTAAAGGATATGCACAGTGCACTAAAATGCATTGGTGCTCTCTTGTTCCTCTTCACCCTTCTCAGGATATACAAGCAAACACAGTGGTGATGCAGCTGGTTAGGGAAGTATTCGTCTACATCAAGCAGCACACATTTGACTTCTTAAAGACCAACATTACTAATACAAGTCCTAAGGGCTGCAGACACACGTGCGAGAATGACATTTGCTAGCCCTCGCAGAGTCATAACAGTACCTGCCTAGGTTGTGGAGATTTCCAGGGCACTCTTCCCAGCCTTCACCTTTCAGCAATATACAAAAATCAAGGTTTACAAAGCAAGACAATAAACCATGTCTTTTCAGCAGGACGGAGTACAGCCATCGGATTCCCAAGGCAGCCTTTCTTCTTTATGTTGCAATAGTTATGTTAAGCTGTAAATGATGCACAACCATCACCTCAAGAAAGCACGGCTCCTTCCTGAGAAGCTGAACTCAGTTTCACTGCCTCCCAATTTTGGCTGCACAGAGCAAGATTTGTCCACCAAACCAACACTTACTGGGTCTCAAGAACTGCATGACGAGGTGCTGCTCCTGGACCTATCCCCTCCGGGCCAGCACTGTCCCCTCTGTGCAGTTTCTCCAGTCAGAAAATACAATGCTTACAGCTTCTTGGGAAGGACGTACTAATATCTGTTATTTAAATGCTTACCAACAATACAACCAAACTTTGCTAAAGAGTAACTTTTACCCACCAACAGCTTACAATGCCTCCTCTGTTCATTGCAGGCATATTTTCAGATATATTTTTTCACGTGAATTCTGGCCCTCTTTCTTCTGTAACACGCTGCTACCATTTCATTTTTAGATACAGCTTATTCAGGCATTGTTATGTAGAACATTAAAAGGAAAAAGCAAAGCTATGCATAAATTTATAAAAAATTCCTACAATGAACATAAATCCATAGTACAGCAGAATGTATTTGGAAAAACGCAGCATTGTATCTGTCACAAACGGCTAGAGAAAGTTGCTGGGCAGTAAATGACAGCAAACATTTACAGCACATCAACTCACTGCAGTCAGCATTTATGCAAAGGCAGCCCTAGCATATTACAAGCCAATTAGTGTGTGTTTAAAGTGCTGTTAATATCCATGTGAGAAGTTAGTGAAGAAAGAAGGCCGTAGCCTTGAGCTTAAATTGCTCCGCACACCTACTGCTTCCCCACTCCGCCAGCTTTTAGCTCCTTGCAACTCACTCTCAGGGAGAAGTGGTTATCAGCAGCTGAGGCTATGAGTGTCCATACAGCTCCCCGGGCTGGGTGCACGTCTGTTTGTACTGAAGCACTCATGGGATTTTTTGGGAGAGGGTAGGGATGAGAGGGAGCTTCTTGTATCCTCCCATTTGCAAAGAATTTCGGTTTCCATGCAGCAACAAGGTTACGCTGTCCCACACAAACACCTGCGTAAGGCACATCGCTCCTAGAGCTCTACACGCAGCACTGAAATAGTTATAACTTAGGAACGTATGATAATGACCCAAACCTTCTACATGACATCGTTTAAGCAGACTCTTTATTCTGTCCTCTTTTCAGCCCTAAACGCACACACTTGGTGAGAAAATTGTACAGGGGGTTGCATCTTAGCTTCACAACCCTTCCTCGGAGCTCCCCCCACGCCTGCTATTAGCCACAACACTCGGTTCGGTCGTAGCCATTGTTTCCCTCAACCGAAGCCTCCTCAGGAAGGCAGCAGAGCTCTACAGGCGAGCGCGCTGCCAGGCAGGGGCTCCCGTCCTCCGTCCCCCGGCGCTCGCCACGCCTCAGCTCACATCAACCAGCCCCGCTACCTGTGCCTGCGGCCGAGCCGGGCTGTGCGCCCACTACCACCACCACCCCCGCCCGTTTCCCTAACAGCCCCGCCGCGCCGACACGGGACGACAGGACGGATGGAGGAAAGGGGACGCTCCCTCAACCCCCCACCCGGCCGGGCTGCAGCGTCCCGCCGGGGTGAGGCCGCCGCTCTCCTCCCGTTTCCACGGAAACCCCGGGGCGGCGCGAGGCGCCGGAAGATTCTGGGCGGCAGACACGGCGCGGCCGGCGGCGGCAGCGGGTGGGGGATGAACCGAGGAACTCGTGGCCGCAGCCCGCTTCCCGCCGCGCCTCGCCCCGCGCACACACTCCCACACCCCGCCCGGCCGCCGGCGCTGATGGGTTGGGGAAGACGGCTCTTTGTTGTTTGTTTCCAAACCGGGCGCCAGCCGGCTCGAGAGGCGCAGCCCCGCACCTGAGGAGCCCTCCGGCCGCCAGGGAAAGAGCACGTACCTGGCGCCGCCGAGCCTGGGCACGGGCGCGCGCTGAGGCGCCGGGAGCGGGCGGCACCGCGCCGAGCCGAGCCGCGGCTCGCCAACTGCCACTAGTTTGCACGCGCCGGGAGGCGGCGGGCTCGGGCGGGGCTGCCTGGCTCCACCCGCCGGGCGGCTCCCTGGCCCCCTCGCCTTCCCTCTCCGCCGCCATGTCACTTCCTCCCCGACCCGGGGGGAGACTTCTCCCCCCGCCTCGGGTTGTCTGCTTTGGGATGGCTCTGAGACGGAACGCCGGGCTGAGCCTTGGCAATGGGGCAGAGATGGGGCGGGCTGGGCTGTGGCGGCATGCGGGCCGTCTGGGGACGGGCTGCGAGATGAAGGGCACCTGTGTGCATCTGCCGCTTAAGAGAGAAATTGGGGAATAGAATAGCGGCTGATCCGCCTGGACACCATGAGATGCAAGTGGTAGCCATGCAAACGAGCAGCGGGTATCCTGACGCGCTGTGATCGCCGCCTGTGGGAGCACAAACGTTTGCTGCTCGGCTTTGGCTGTGGAGTCGCACGTGGCTTCCTGAATAGGGAACAGCAAGAACCGCGTCTGTTAAATACCCAGAGTATCAGAAGGCGATCATGCTGGGGATGACGCGTCATTGCGGGCGGCGTTGTCAGCTCCGCAGGTCGTGCATTTACGCTGGGGCTGGAGTGCGCTGTCATGATCTATGACATCCTGGTCCATAGCAGCCATACAGCATCCCTATTCATCCTGAATGTAGAAAAGTATTTTTTAAATACTTCAAGCCATCGCTAAAGCACAGGAGTTTAGACTGGAGATAAGAAGTTTCTTTTTTACAATAGGGGTTGTGAGGCACTGGGACAGGCTGCCTGGTGTGGGAATACAGGAAAAACTGCTCAGAGCAACAGCTGTGGAGCAAGATAAACAGTATGAGAACCAAGGACATCTCTAGAAGAAGAAAGAACATCTCATGGCTCTGACTGGATAAATGCCTGCATGAGCAGTTGAAGAATGTTTTGTAGAATGCTCTGTTGACATGTAAAGGTGGATTGGAAAGCTAGAAAACTTATGAAGGAATATAAGTTATGTGAGAACTTGTAATAAATGATTTGGATCATTCACATCTGAGTCCATGCATCAGACACTGCAGCCTGGAGAGGTGGATACCTGAAGACATCCAGTGTCAGGCTGGACAGGGCTCTGAGCAATCTGATCTAGCTGTAAGCATCCCTGTTCATAGCAGGGTTTTGGACAAGGTGGCCTTTAAGGGTCCCTTCCAACTCTAAGGATTCTGTGATTCAAAGTTGCTTATGGAGAGGCAAAAGAAGGATATAAGCAAGACTTCTAGCTTGTTCCAGGAGCACACTGAGTACCAAGTTACAGGGTAGCATCCCATCTAAGAAGGCCACACATGGGAAGGGCAAGATGCTGTATCTATCAGAGAGCAGAAAGGACAAGGCAGCTGCAGAAAGGAGGACAAGTCCAGATCAGAGAGCTGACCACAGCACTAGCAGTAACTTTGTCAGCCAGAGCACAGTGCAGGGAGCAGGTTCTGCTGATGACCTCCTGAAGAAGCAATAAGTGGTGCAGTTTGTTCAGGCAGTCTAACTATAACTAGGAGATGAGGTCAGAGGGTCAAGGTTGCAACATGGGTTCAGACAGGAAACAAGACCAGACACAGAACTGACAGTGCATCCACCTCCTACATAGCTCATGCAGAAGCTTAATGTCTAGACCTGAACTTAAATGGGCCCAATTTCTGAGGGCAGAGCATGTGAGTGGAGGTCTCACATGAGGCTGGTCTGGGCTGTTAAGACCTGACAGTGACCTGAGGGCTTTGTAAGATTCTTCTTGGTGAATACATGTACTCTTGAAGGAGGCCAAGATTTAGCACACTTGCACCATTCGGGCATGGAAGCACTGAATCCAGCTCACTAACATACTCAGGCTAGTAGTGGTCTAACTACTGAGGATTAGTAAAGGGTATTTGCACATCCATGAAGACTGTGGAAGGCTGATACTGCATACACATCCTAGGAAGGGGCACTTCTAAGTAGGGAGATGCGATTGTAATCCCAAAGCAAGGCAGTGTGTAATTCAGCTAAGCATCCCCTATTAGCTATTTCAAGCAGTTTTTTGTGCTACACATACAGATTTTCTGGGTTTTAGTTGAAGGCATCTCCTTCAGGATCTAGGTACTTTGTTTTTAATGAGCCAAGTATTCCGAAATCAGGCATCTGGTACTAAATGTTGTTGTACCCATATATCTTTTCTGATCTGGCTTTGAGAACAAAATCTCTGCAGCTGACTATTTTTACATTCCTCCTTTTCTTAGAAATTACAATAAAAATCTGGCTTCTTGTTTTCTTTATTATTAAGCTGCAGCTTAACAATTCGTGAATGCTTTACACTTGAGAAAAATCTGTGGTGGGGAAAGAAATCCTCAATTTGACAGAATGTGCCTCTTTAAAAAAATCTAACCAGGAAAATGGGAATAATGTAACTCTTTTATTTAAATTGAAGTTTGAAAAGTATGCCAATCTTAGAAAGCTGTTAGATTCCATGGTAATGATTGAAACTGAAAAGCCTATAGCAAACAGTGCTTCTATAATTAAGAGCAAGGTTTGTCAGGTCCTCACTGTGTTTTTTTTTTTTTTAATTTATTTATTATTATTTTTAAGTGCTATCAAACACTGATGATAGAATCAGATGAACTTTCCTTAAGCTCTAACCTCCAGAACAGAGAATAGAGTGGATTAAGATATGTACAGTTAAGAAATCCCCCCATATAGACAAGGACAGCTAAATTGAGTATCTTCAGGTCTCAGTTCTGGCATTTCCTTTTGAGTGCTTGAATTTGCACTTTCAGTGCAATTTTTTTTCTTGCTTGTGGGCACATAAATAGCTTATTTGCATTGGGCAAGACTCAGGAGTTGAGTCAGGAACTCATACCGGGTGATGACTGCTGCAATGCCATGACCATTTCTCACTGCTTAAAATGGGTAACTTTCAGTGAATCTTTCTGCAAGAAACAGCAAGCAAACATGCAAATTAAAAACCAAAACCTTCTGCTGAGCTAGATGTGCACTCAGATCAAGAAGGGATTCAGGTATCTCACATGATAGAAGTGAAATTGCTTGCTTGTTCTAACAGACAGACCCCAGTCCTACTGACACTTTTAAGTGCTTTAAGAATCTGATTTCAGAAATTTGATTTAGTGAAGTGCTTATCTATTCTTGGAAGCTCTGCAGTTCCAGCTATGGCAGCCTAGTGATAGAAGCAGCACACGTAGCATTGATGCTGCTAGATTGATGGAATATATACTGTATAGGAATATATGATGATGCACTGCTGTGAGCAGCTAGGCTCAGGAAGCCCAGTTTGCTACTGCTGTGTGTCTTATGGTTAGATTCTCTGATGTCTAATAAGATATGTATTATAAACAACACATTTTCCTCATTTAAAGCATTCATAATGTTCCTCTTCTGTGTAGGCTGAATGTAATAAAGACTGTACTGCCAGCTATCCCTCTGTGTGGGCAATAACAAGAAGTCTTTCCTGTACTTGACTTATGTGTCTTTATGAAATCTGTGGGAAAGTAATTGTATCTGAGATCTCTGCTTCTTTTTTGGGACTTTATTAAAATCAACAAACATGTACAAGAGTCTTGGTGATGATTAATAAATACATCACAGTCTTTTTTTTTTTTTTAAACTTGTGAAACCAGATGAAAATAAGTTTACACCAGCCAATAAACGTTAACTGTTGGAGAACAAAAATGAAAGCTAGCATACATGCAGGTGTATCAATTTAAATATGCTAGTCTGGAATGTGAAAAAAAAAAAAATCACTTTTTTGGCCCAAGGAACTAGCTTTATTGGGTAAGTTTTTCTACCTCAGTTACGTAGTGATTCCACCTTCTTCACAGAAAAAAATAACCACTTCCTTATAGAGAAGCTATACAGTACCCAGAAATGGAAATATCCTGTTAAAACTAAACCTTGAGTCCACAGTTAGTTTTAAAAGATTCACTCTGTAGTTGAATATGCATTAGCAAGAAAGAGAGCTGTGTGAAGTGCAGTAGAGGCATTTCAGCTCCTGACTGCCTAACCCAACCCTTTACAAAGTCTAGTACATATAGAAACTAACGCCATGCAAAGCTGTGGGAAAAAAAAGGAGTCAATCATTTATTTTGAATACCATCCCTCTAAGAAATTCCAAGGATTGTATCATTAAAAAGTTTAAAAAATTACTCTCTGCAGAACCGGACTCAATTTTCCCCTCAACTACTGACATCCACAAAATAAGCATTCCTTACACAAGTGCAAGAATTCCCATGTCTGTTTTAAAAGTTCAGTATGAACCTACCTATAAGGAAAGGAGGGGTTGTGGTTGTTTCCTTCTAAACACAAATGTAATACGGTGTATCACAGATTATTTTCACTCTTTCCTGAAAGCAATGAAGACATCATTGCATACCACCTTGGGCCCACAGTTGTTGGTTCATGTGACTAGCTTTAGAGTATCTGCATGTGCAGGTGGCTGTGCTGCCATTATTCAGACATGGTCTACAAAACTACATGCACAGGAGAGGCTAAGGAACCAAAAATGTGAGGACTCAATGGGACCTTGAAAACAGAAAGATGCCAATATCTGTCATGGTCATGGGTATGTGTCTGGGGGTGAAATTCCTCAAAGATCTTAGTGGAAAGATCACCTTGCAGCTGCAAATTAAGTGCTGTTTAGCCGGTACTTGGGAAACCATCGCTCTTCCAGAAGCAGAGAGAACAGCATAGAAAAAAAAATATCTTGGTCTGAACAACTTGGAAGTCAGAGAAGCTCTGACTCTGTAAAAACAAATGCTGCTTATGCCCAACTCTGTTTACATTGAGTTTACCAGGGAAGAGACATGCTGGCTGCTCTCCAGGTTTTCAAGGGCAGTACCTGATCTGAATATATAGCTATGCAGACTTTAGCAGTCAGAAACAAATCCACACAGCCATCCTTTTTTGGCTTGTACATTTCCTCACCTAGAAAATGAAATTATTTCAGTATTATTTCAGGGGCAAGGCTGCTTTATGTTTCAGTAGTGAGTAGAGATGGGCTTGGTAAGCCTGCTACTTGGAACTTTTGCAAACTTACTGGAAAGGACAATCACTGCAATAAGCATATACTGCCTGATCTGTTTTGTAATGAATTCTGTAGAAGCATCCTCTCCTGTGGATGGCTTCATGCTCACTCTGCCCATAAAAGACAACAGCTGTAAGCCATGCTTAAAGCATTCATCTTTATTCTGCCAGGGAGCAACTCTAGATCCCTTGCCAAATTTACACTGAAGCTAGCATTTGATTATCTCATTGTCATTCAACTACACAGAAGTTGAGAGGTCATTAAAAAACAATCTTTTAACAAGTGGCAGGCAAAACACTCATCCTTATGTATTGCCCACAAGCACCTCTCACCAATTATGCACCACATTTTCTGCACTGGAGATAGAAGGCAGGATACAACCCTTGCCTCAGCTGTTGCAGCCTCTATCCAGTGTTCCCTTATGTGCTTCTTCTGTAAAGATTGCCAAATCTTAAGGGACCATCAAGAAGTTGTCTGCTTCCCAAAGAAAACACTGGGTTAAACCCTGGCTAGGTGGCAGGAAATATCCACTGTGCAACACTTCACACAGTGAAGACATGGATATAATTTA